AACTCTTTCCATTATTATTCACTGCACAAATGAAAAATGCTGGTTTTCTCTTGATTGAACCATTCAATCCACAAGCTATTATTTAGTTTTAAAGAAAGTCTTCTTATTAGCAGGCAAAAGGCTCATCTGGTTCATAGGTTTGATCAAAAAGTTTAAACAGAATTTCAATTTTTTGTTTTTTTTATAAGAGAAAACAATGTAGCAAAAGGTTTGAACTTTTCAAACCCGTGATACAACATAATATGTTCTTCTCATTCTTGTCAGTGTTTTCTTCTCTTGTTTTGGGGATAAGAAACAGAACTAATTAAATTTCAAAGTTGAAACTTGAAAGACGTATATTAAAAGAGCTGAAGACTTGATATCCTCGTAAGAATTAGAACAAGGAATATTCTACTGCGTCCGGATTGAAATTCTCAGCATTGATGCTGAGATTGATTATGAGGGTAAAATGAAGGATCATAGTTGTCAAAGTGATGATAAAGTGTAATGAATCTACAAACAGAATTTTTACGAAATTAATGAAAGGCATGTGTGAGGAGTAATAATATACTCGTAAATTTAAAATGTTAGAAGTGACTGTAAAACGACTTGAAGGTTCCGGTATTAGTGTTGCGAATTAACCCGGCACTATAGAACGACCGTTACAACGAAAACCAGAAAACTGCAGAAACTGAAAAAACTAATGCCCCTTAATATTCCTCAAGCTCATTACGACCACAGAAAAGGGAATGCCCTTCCTGCTTCTTTTTGTAAGCGTCGTTTGGTTCACGCGTTCGAGTCAGTAATTCTAATTCATTGGCGGGAACTTTGTGAGAGTAGAAATTTTTGAATTCAAATTCTTTATGAGATGAAAAGTAATATAGTACAATCAAAATCATGGGTTCAAGTATAGGAATCAAACAGGGCCTAAAGATTTCTACAAGTGATCATTCTTTTCAGTGACCAACTGGTGTGTACATAATGTTTGTGGGAAATTTTATTAGTTTTGATTGTCTCTTGGTGAAAGTTGATCATACAAGAACATATAAAATTCATTCATGCAGAACAACCGGGCTAGAATCATGCCTCTTTTAACCTTTTGTCTTTTGCTTATGAATGTTGTAGGAATCTTTGGACGGCAAGGAGGGCGTGAGTAAGTCAGATAGGCAAGCTGGTGAACTTGAGAAGCAAGTTAGTTGTTTGTGAACTGTCTTTTATTATTTCATCTTTTTCGCGCATTATTAATACTAGTTATGAGGGTTTTCTGTTCATGGCAGGTTGAGAGATTAAGGAAGGACATAGAGATGCAAAATAAGAAAAAAGATGGATTAGGAGCCCGGGCGAGCATAGCAGAGAACAAAATCCAGAAACTGAATTCAAAACTACAAAAAGTAATGGTTGCTCTTGGCTTTGTCAAAGCCTTTATCAATGGTTCTATATATGTGTGTGTGTGTGTGTGTGTGTGTGTGTTTGTGTTAATCGACCAGCTTCTAGAGTGCCAAGTCTAGTTGCAATTATTCTCATTTTCTACAAGTAAATCGCAAAAAGGAGTTTAGCCGAAAGCTATTTGGTTACGTATTCTTTGTTGTTTTTTTCCCCCCCTTTCCAGCTTCATAATGTTAATTATGAACAAGAGAACAGAATTCGCAAAACTGAGCATCTTCTTCAAGTGGCAGAGGTATTCTTTCACTATATTTCTTCCTCTTCAATTTTTCATATTGCTAGTTCAACATTAATTTTGCGTAAACATCAGGAAGAACTAATGATGGCAGAAGTGGAAACTGATTTAATATCTGAAGGGTTGAACAAGGTAAGGATGTTCTGATTCTATGCATTCCTATGACTTTTTGTTACTGGTGAAATCTACTTCTTATTGCCCGCCTCTTTTCCTTCGAGGAGTTGAGCATTTATTCCTTAAGAGAAGGGCCGTGTGGTCTTATTCTTTGTCAAACATTGTAAAGTTCTCTCTGTCTCTCTTGATAACCATGGTGTCCGAGACTTTTCTCGGACTAATCTACGGGATCCATGCAATGTGCCCCCTTTTCTTGATCTCATATCTTGAAATTGGTTTCTTCAAAAATGGCGGTGAAGGTACATCCATAGATTTTACATTTGTTTTACAAAATGGAAAATCATTTTACACCAAAGTAGTTAACAGCAGTGTCTTTAAAAAAAGAAAAAATAGAAATTAAAAAAGAGCATTTAGTATTGAAAAGGTAAAACTAAGTAGAGGTGGAATTCAGGAAGTGATACTTCCTAACCTACTTCGTGTTCTTGTACCCATTTCACTTAATTATGCTTTATTTACAACACTTAAGCAAAAACTCTTTATATTCCTACTAATGTCCCGAATGCTTGATAATTAGGCCCATATAGAGTGGCTTCCAGATTGGCTTTCGGTTCATTTAGACCATATTCAGGTAAGACTTTTACATGCTTATTGCTTATTGTAAGAAAAGAGGAAAATTCTTGTGATAACTGTTAAGACTTTTACGTGCAGTTGTACATGGTGTCTTCCTGGAACGAGTCTTGGGGACCAGCCATGGATCTGTCACTTCAAAAGGTACATGTTTCTTATTAATTTAATTTATTAATTGATTAGCCAACGAAAAGGATGAATTGCTGGGAGGGTTGACAGGCTGTATTACAACTGAATAATTATTATTTAGTTACAAATACTGCTGTGCTTCAATTTTTTTTTTTTTTTTCCTTTTCTACCGTCTTCTCGTCTTATGTTTCTCAGGCATTAGAAAAGAAAGCTCAATTTATGGATTGGGTTAAGCTACAAACTGAGATGATTACAGTGGTATGGTTTATACTTTAGAGTGTTTGATGCATCACTTTAAAGTGTCCTCTCTTTCCCTTTCTCCCCCTTAAATAAGAAGCTGACATTTTATTGACGGAAAAGAGATTAAGACAAGAAGTTTAATGCAAAGAGAAAAAACTGCAAGAAGCACGAAGTAAATGCACCTATCTTGAGAAAGAAGGGAAAAAAAAAAAAAGAAGAGACTCACAAAGTGGTTTAAAAAAAAAGAAAAGAAAAGAAAAACCTCAGAGTTCTCTTTAATCAACTTATCCAAGTTTCTGTGAGGCACCAAATCCATAAGATCACTTCTCTTCTACTTGAAAATCAAATAAAGTTTCCAAGTAGCATAGGCCGCGAATCGCTGTGGAGCTGGCCAATGAAAACCTGCTTCAAGACCGGCTTTAACAATAATCATCAGCTATTTTACCAATGTAACAATCAATTACCAGGGCTTTCGTTCCCTGCTCTCCATGTGATTCCCTAGAGAGTGAAAGCTTAACAAATGACTTCTGTCTGAATCATGTCACTAGTGTTAACCTTGCCTCAGTTAACAACTTTCCTGTGAAGAGAAACCTAACGTACCTGACATTGCATGAACACAATTTTGTCTTTTCATCTGGTTTTCCTTTTTTTTTTCCTCCCCTTTTTCCAATATAACAAATAATTGGCTAATGTTCTAGTCTTAGGAAAAAGAAAATGAATTTGCTAATGTTCTAGTTGCATCATTTTCTTACTTCTAGAATCATCACTTGTTATTTGAAGGACTGGATACCAATATTGAAGGAACAATGGTCGGCATTTCTAACCTTTCTTAAACCGCTTGTTCAATCATTGACAAGAAAAATTGCTCATCTGTACCATGAATCCAAGAGTTCAATAGCACCATACGCTTTCAAAGTGCTAAAAGACCTATGTTCCTACGCCCAGGCAAGTGCATGCGTTTGTTAACTTAGATGGTGGAAAGAATTAGCTAGTCTGTTTCCCTTGGGTGTCATTTATTTTTGTTGTTTGAAGAGCCTCTTGTGTTTAATATGTTTTCTTTTCCTCAATTTTCAATGCAATGATTGATCTACTGTATTATAGTTGCATGATTTTCTCTTGTTATTTGAAGGACTGGATCCCGATTTTGAAGGAACAGTGGTCCACATTTATGTCTTCTCTTCAACCGCGTCTCCAGATACTAGCCCCAACTATTGTTGATGTGTACCATGCATCAAAAAGCTTTATGGCACATGTGTTCAAGGTTCTAGAAAACCTATTTTCTTACACTCAAGTAAGTGCAAATGAGGTTGATTTTTATAATTTGAAGGCAGCTTTCTGTTGGTGAACTGGTTGGTCTTCCTTCTGATTTTGTTGCTTTTTGTTGTGCCAGGAAGCTAAGAAGTTTGTCGAGGCGTACATGCCTCGAATTGCAGTAGTAACAAGATCTTGTTTCGATAAAGCGTTCTTCGTCTTGAAGTGGTATATCGTAAACCTATTCCGCGCATGTTGGAAGTTCATAACAGTTTCAACTTTGTTCCATCATCAGGTATCAATTGCATTTTTACTCTTTTCCCCCTTTTCTGGACAGAGTTCTGTATGTAATATTTTTATCTGGACATGGATATATCACAAGTCTGTTCGCTTGTTCGGACTAAAACCTTGGTTTTGCATTGATCTATACTCTCCTAATATAGTTTCTATTGTATTGTGAAGCAAAAAGATAATTCACTTGTTGGGTTAGGTAGCATTTTTTATCCAATGGGCTAAAAAGTCCACAAGAAAGAATGAAACTCGAACTTTGGAAATTTTCATTTCGAGTTGTTTTTGGTTAATCTAGATTTATAACTATGTTATTAAGCTTTTACTATCTTTTTAATGTGGTAAGGTCCAAGGAATGCTAAAAAATATTGCGGTCGTACGGCCAGTGGCAAACATGGGGATTGTTTGGTTTGTGGTATGTGCTTCTGAGTTATGTGTTGTAGCATCAACTTCTCTAACAAAGTTTGACTTCATATATTTCATTTCCTATTCGATAAATAAGCCGACTTAATTCTCCTTCACACATACAGGCCACTGCTTTTTTGGGCTTGCCTGCTCTTTTTCTGTTTACATTGTGCTCAGCTGTTTTCAGGTGAGTTTTATTTCACATTAGTAGCTATTTCATTTGAATAAATTTCCATTTTCCAAGGATAGTTACTTTTGAGATTCATCAGTTCTAGTTAAAAAGATCACCTATTTGATGCAGGAGGACGAAGAAGCATATTCGGAGTTCGAATACAAACCACACGCGTCGTAGGTCCAAACAGGCTCATCCTGATAAGTGAGATGTAAAAGTTATTTGCATGCTTTGCCTGTATCTCCATTGCATCTTATTGAAATTTTACATTAAGCTTATGAGCTAACTTTCATATATTTAAGTCCCATTTATTTCGCTGATTCGAGTTTAGAATTTGAGTTTTTTTACAGTAAAAAGCTATCACAAACAATCACATCTAACTTTTTTACTACAGTAAAAAGCTCACATAAAGTCATATCTCAACTCGAATTAAAAACTCGAATCAGCGAACTAAACGGGTTTTAACTCTCATTTCACTCTGTCACGTTTATCAAAGAATGACTTTGATTATCAAATGATTGAATAACGGGAGCAATTAACTTACGATGCTTTAGTTTGACATTCATCAAAAGTATCTAATGAATTGTGAGTTCAATACATCATGTTTGTAGAAAGACGGGTATTCCTTGCTCATTATGAGGCATTCACTTGTCCACTTGCAATTTAGACAGAAATTCTTGACCAGCCTAGGAAGCTTTCATTTATTTTCATATCTTTATATTCCCCCTGTAGCGTGCTGATTTCACTTTCTCACGTTTATGGTTTTAATTGCAGTTTAGACAGAAAATCTCAACCAGCCCAAGGAAAAAAATTTTGCTCGAAACCTGAGAGGAAAGGTTTTGTTTAGAAAGCTGGGTGGCAGAAGTAAACAGGACTTTCTACATGAAGCAAATTTTAGGTGTATGCTGGCATTATCAATTGACTAGGAAATGAATAAAAGATTTGGGCAAGACAACCGGGAAGATATATATATATATATATATATATATATTTCTTTATCCTGTGGCTGCTTCATTATCCATCCAAGCTTCTCATGATTTCTGTTACATATTTGTGCATTGATTCCCTATCTTCGAGGAATCCTGTCTTGTATCTCATTATGATTAAGCAGGGAAAGTACAACCAAAGCATTCCATACATGTTACAACATAGAAGATTGTTGCTAAAAGTAAAATGTCTAATAATTGGTATTATTTCATTAGTTATTTTCTGTTCTCATTTTTATTAGTTACCGGTCAAAAAGACAAAAACAAACACGTGATTCATTTAAAATAATAATTATATAAATTATTTTTAAAAAAAAGAGAGAATAAAAAAAGGACAAGGGGAAAAATATCTAAAGTAAAAAGTAGAGAAAAAAAAAACCAAAAAGGTTTTTTTTTTTTTTTTTTTTTTTTTTTTTTTTTTTTTAAGGACTCTTTCCTTGATGAAGGGAAAAATCCCTTGCAAAAAGTTTTCTACATGCCTCATATGCGAAACGTTAAGTAAATATTAAAAGAAGGAAATTATTCTCCCTTAGTTATGTAGTGAAGGTAAAGATAAAGATTATTTTATTTTTATTATTATGGTTAATCATCTAAATCATAATATTGTTATAGTATTTTTCTTATAATAATTTATTTAATTTTTTTATTATAATATTTTTTTCTCACATACACAATTTAAATTCTTAATTTAAATTGTGAAACAAACATACTCTAGTTATTTGATTCGCCTTTCGTTTTATATCAAGGTGTTGGCGATTGGGTTGATCAATGTTGTTCCAATATGTTGTTGTCGTTGATTTTTTTTAGTTTTTTTTTTTTTTATTTCTTTCTTTTTCTTTTTTTGAAGGGGGTTTTTTTTTTTTTTTTTTTTTTTTTCTTTTTTTGAAAGGAGTTTTTTTTTTTTTTTTTTTCGTATTATGTTGCAATTGGGGTTACGACGTTACGTTTTGGATTTGAGTTTCTGGGGAATGCGGATTTGACTTTTGTTTCTTTAACTGGAAGGGTTTGACGTTTTTTTAATGGTTGGAAATTTTGGCCTTTTGAAATTTGCCTTTATTAGCACATCATAAGCGGTAAAATTTTTATCAATCAGGCCAAATTGTTGTCTACCGGGAGGAAACAAGTGTAATCACTACACAATATTGATAGAATATTCTTCTTTATATCCCTCCATAAAGATATCCAACTAATTACAAACATAACTATTCTGTTTTTCTTTTTATGAATAATACAAATATTGTCTTCTTTCCTTCGCGAATTCGAGTTTTTAATTGGAGTTTAAATTTTTAACTATAATAAAAAAAATTAAATGTAATATTTTTTAAGAGATTTTAACTGTAAAAATTTAATATTAAAAATTTAAATAAGTAAAATGAACGAGATCAAACTATTCGTTCTATTCTGCCTAACACATCATACAAGTGCTCAAATATAAAACGTTCTTTCCCTCTATTCCAAAAAAACAAAAAAAAAACCTCTCCTATAAAAAAAAAAAGAAAAAAAAGACTCTACTTTCGCATTTTTGCGTGAAAAAAATAGATCTTTTAAAATTGTTACTTTTTTCATAAAAAAAATTGTTGCACTTTTTTTACTAACATAATTTTGTAATTGAAGAAGCTTTTTTTTAGAACAATTTTTTTTTTTTTTGGTCTTTCTCTAAAGAATTTTTTAAAATTCAATTAAAATCAATCAAATTAAAATTTAATATAAAATAAACATTTTTTTATATAGATTTAACTGTTAAAAATTTATTTGTATTGATAATTTATTTTTTTTCAGTACCTAAAACTCCTTTTTCTCTAAAAAAACAATTATACAAAAACTCCTCGGAATCAGTCAGCTTTTGAACTAAAGTACTAAACTAATCACCCGATTTAAAAAGAAAAATAACGGCCCAAAATTAATGTCTTATAAGGTAATTTTAAGTTTTATTTATTTCACCGATTTAAATTTTTAATTTTAAATTTTTATAATAAAAAATTTTTAAAAAATATCACAATTAATTTTTTTTGTTACAGTAAAAAATTTTTAAAAAATATAACATCTTATCTCGAATTAAAAACTCAAATTTATAAAATAAACTAGACAAATGCGTATAATTTGCATATTATATGAGATCTGAGTTTTCAGTTTGAACTGCGCAACTCGTTGTTCATTTTATTCTCTCTCATTTTCTCTGATTCTGGCTGCGCTGCTAAGCCGAGGTAAAACTTTCTCTACTTTTTCTCCTTCCAATTTTCTCGGGAAAATTCTTTTTTCACCTTCTCTTCCCTTTTCTTTTCCTCGCAATTTTCATTTCCTTTTTTCTCAAGAAAAATAAAGGCCTTTCTTTCGAAGTGATCGCTTCAAACAATCACTTCCATAGTTTTGATCAGATCGAGCTTAACGCTCTCAATCGCAGAAAGAGCCTCAGGTTTTCAACCCTAGATTTTTGCTTCAATCTTATCATTTCCAAAGTTCTATGCTTCATTTCATTTTGGACCATTTGCGTTATTATCTGCTGATATATCCAAAATTATTCTGATTATATATATATATATATATGTATAATAATATTCAGTGGGAGTGTAATTGCGTCAAGATTTTCCTTCAATCTCTTCATTTACATCTGTTTATGGTTCATTTTTGACCATTTTCAATATCTGTATGTATGTATGTTTTTTTTTTTCTTTTGGATACTGAGATATCTGTATGTATGTGTGTGTGTGCGCTCGCGCGAGCGCGTGTGTGCAAATTTGTGTTTGTGTGTGTGTGTGTGTGTTTGTGTGTGTGTGTGTATTGTGTATATTTGTATATATAATGGAGTTCTTTTGGTGCTAGAGAAGATAGCCGTACGGTGCAATGGTGTTCTTTAGGAGTGTATCCGTGCTTTCCAAGCTTCGCTCTCGTATTGTAAGTTTCCATCAAAATCAACAGTCATTTGTATATATTATACGTGTGTGTATAACTGTAAACACATACATACATACGTATTATATGTATGTATGTATTTGTATAAGTAGAGAGAGATCTGACTCTTTCAATTGGAGTATCGATAGTTGTTTCTGATCAATGCGTGTTGCAGACCGAGCAGTCTAATTTCAAGAATACTGTCAGATGGCTTCAAGTCCAGAGCTCCTCAGATCTTGTAAGTTATTTTGATCATTCCAATAGCTAACAAGTATTATTTGATGCCAATTTTTTAGAGCTTTATTTTTTTATTTATTTGGGTTAATAAAGCGGAAGTAAGAAGGTTGGATTTGGATGTCTTGAAACTATGAGCCATTTAAGCATGTTTTTGTCCTGTACTACTTTTTTAGTGAGTGGTTATATAATAATGACATTTTGAAAATGGTGTTCCTTATTACAACTTACTTAAAGATTATATTTTGAGGTTTATAGTTGATTTCTGTATTTTTTTTTTGAGTTTGTTTATGACATCTTGAACTGTCGAGGGTGGTCTATAAATTAGGACTGTTTGTATGACATATTGTCCTGAAAAGCATGAAAAGATTTATACTTCCCAAGTGAGGAGTGAGTTATACATGGATATGTATGTATGTATGTATGCATGTATGTATTCATTCTAAGCTATTTATTATGTCCAATTTTCTTTTTCCATGTAGGATCTTCATTCTCAGCTCAAGGAATTGATTCCTGAACAACAGGTTCGTCTTACTACCCTTTACCATGTATATATCTTCGTTGGAGCAATTTGTTTTTAAATTGTTGTCTCCTACTCCATCTTTTTATTTTGACAACTGAATTCAATCTGCAAATTGAAATCCATTTGTTGTTTATACCTGTAAGTACTATTTGGTGCAAGATTATTGCAACATGTCTATGGGGTTGGGTTGGACCAGTGTGGTTGCTTTTTCAGTTTTGGGGTTTGTTTCTTGTTGTTTACTTGACTAAGTTTATTGGTTGGGTGGGTGAAGTGTTTTTTCAACTGACAAGACATTTACACACACACACACACACACACACATATTGCGATGAGACTGATTTGTTCAGAAGGGTTAGATTGTAAATTTTTACGTGCAACAGATTGTTCAAGGATATTTTTAGATCAAAGTTAATTAAGCATTTTATTGAGTTTCAAAATATTTGGAGTTCAGGGTTTTCTAAATTTTTTGTTTGGTAACAGGAACGTTTGAAGAAACTGAAGTCCGAACATGGAAAGGTTCAGTTGGGCAATATCACTGTTGATATGGTAAATATTATCTTTTGTTTTCATTTCTATTATTTGTGGCATTAGTGGATCATAGGCCTTTTACAAGCAAAAGAATTGTACAATTATGGGTTTTCTTTTCTTAATGATTTTGCTGTCTTGAACTAACATATCTCACTCTGTATTTACTTGGGAAGGTAATTGGTGGAATGAGAGGAATGACTGGACTGCTGTGGGAAACCTCATTACTTGACCCGGATGAGGTATACATTTAAAGGTCTTAGCCTTGTTATGGGTTAAAACTTAAGGCTTACAATTCCTCTTTGTGTATGTGTGTTTGCTTCTTTAGGGCATCCGTTTTAGGAATCTTTCAATTCCAGAGTGCCAAAAGGTATTACCAGCTGCTAAGCCTGATGGAGAACCTTTGCCTGAGGGTCTTCTCTGGCTCCTCCTAACGGGAAAGGTATTTCTCCCTCTGCTTTAGTTACAAGATATTTGAATAGTATAGTCGGGAAAAAGAAATGGAAGAAGTCATTGTCCTGTTCATTTCTATTTGCAAACTTTAATGCTTATTGTGAAATTTCAACCTTGGATAAATTATGAGCTTATAATTCTCACGTTTACCGGCTTATTTTACTATATTTCTCTTTGCAAAGTTGTTTTCGTTCTAATTATGAAAAAAAAGAAATGGAAAAAACTTTTCCTCCTCTGCGCCTCAGGTACCAAGCAAAGAGCAAGTGGATGCATTGTCACAGGACTTGCGTGCTCGTGCAGTAGTTCCAGGTTACCGCTATATTTTTTTTCTTTTTTTTCCTGTATTTTTTTTTTTTTTTTTATTATACCTTTTCAGCATGATGTTTCAGTAACATATTCATCATTAACATAGAATGACTTAACTACTATTATAATGACGACATGAGGCTTGAGAGTATGACAAAGCAGTGTGCACGCTGCATCCAAGTTTTCTTTTTAGTGGTTTAGTTTCATTTACATTTAGTAGTTGTTGCTAGAAATTTTCTATGCTCAGAGAATGTATAGCTAGAAGTAATTCGTTTTCCCCTTTAAATAAAGTTTTCATTTCCTATACATGTATTCTAGTGTAGTCAGTCACAGATTCACACACGTGCTCATTTTAGTTAACTGGTGCTGTTTTTAAGTTGCTCCATCTGTTTATTCTATGAGCAGTAATGTGATTTTGTATCTCATTGATTTATCACTTTTGCAGACTATGTGTACAAGGCCATTGATACTCTACCTGTTACAGCTCATCCTATGACTCAGTTTGCATCTGGTGTTATGGCCCTCCAGGTTGGCAAATGGATGTGTTCTATAATTTGTTTATATGCTTATTTAATTTGATTGTACAGTTTGTTTGTTTATTTGTTTATTTGTTTTTTTGTTTTTTTGTTTTTTTTTTTTTGTGGCTTCCCTATTGGTTGTTATTGAATCTGAACTGGTTGGCTCTGTGCGTATTCATATTCCCATTTGCCCTTCTTTACTAGGCTAGTTCAAATTCATTGCTCTTGGAGCATATATATAGAAAATAAAAGATGATTATGAAGTTCCAAATATGTCCAGATTCTTTATAAGTCCACAGACATTTCATATTTCGGTTGTAAATAATAATTTACATTAGTCAAGGACTAGGCTAGCATCACATTGAAAAGGTTGTAATGTTTGTATTGTTTGGTCAGTTCTGTAGAGTTCCTACAAGTTGATGTAATTGACGCCTCTCTATTGCTTCTTGTATTATTCAGGTTCAGAGCGAATTTCAGAAGGCATATGAGAAGGGTATTTCAAAAGCAAAGTGAGCTTCTTTCACTGGTTGCACCTAGCCCAATCTTCTAAATAATCAATATGCACTCATTGTAACATTAATTGTTTTTTTAGGTACTGGGAACCTACATATGAGGACTCACTCAATTTGATTGCTCGAGTTCCACTTGTAGCTGCTTATGTTTATCGAAGGTCCGTAACAGTTTGCAGCTATTTAGCCTTGGTGGTTGTCTGTGAATATTGATAAGATTTTTATGCATCAGATTCTTTTTGGAATGTCTTTCACCATATTAAATTCCTCCCTTATTTTCTCTAGGATATACAAGGATGGCAAGATTATTCCCCTGGATGACTCTTTGGATTATGGTGGAAATTTTTCTCACATGTTGGGTTTTGATGATCCTAAAATGCTAGAGCTTATGAGGCTTTACGTAACAATCCACAGGTTAGTATTGACAACTCTTCTTAAGACTAAGAGTCTAAGACCATAATATGATATACCGAATGCTGTTACACTACTTTTAGTATTTGCGTGCTGACTTCAGAATGCTCACCCTTTACTTAAACGAATGATGTGATGAATAAAAAATCGTATCACTTTTCTTTCTTTCTTTTTTTTTTTTTTTTTTTGATAAGAAACAAGAGAATATTGTTAATGGACAATGGAAAGAAAAGTACAAAAGGGGACAAGGAGTCCACCAAAGCATAGCAAAACAAAAAAGAACTTGAAGGACAGGACTAATGAAGGACTATATCCCATCCTCTAAGTAAATCTGAAAAGGAAAAAGACTTGAAGTCTTTAACTAGAGATAACCACAATGCCAACTAGAGATAGCCACAATGCCGCATTAAATTTAATTCTATCCCACACTGCAATAACATCCCCATCTAAATCCTAAAAAATACAGTTATTTCTCTCTAACCAAATAGCCCAAGTGATGGAGAGTGTTGCTACATTTCAAAGCTTCATCCATCTGCTGTTGAAAGAGTAACCATTGAATAAATCCGCAATTGTTCTAGGAATCACCCAAGAAACTCCAAACTCTTTTAGAAGTCGATACCAAATGCATAGTGAAAAGGGACAATCAATGTAGGAAGATATGACCGAAAGTTTCACCATTTGATTTACATAGGACACACCAACCAGGAGAGAAAAAATCACATTGCATTAGTGCTCACATTTATATATATATGTGTTGCAGTGATCACGAAGGTGGGAATGTTAGTGCTCACACTGGACACGTAGTAAGTCGTCCTGTTCTACGCATTTTTATGTAGTGCCTCCATTTAATTGTACTTTATATTCATTGCATTCTGAGGTTTGCATGTTTTCATGTGTTCTTTGATGTTTTCTGGCTAAATACAGGTCGCTAGTGCACTTTCAGATCCTTATCTTTCATTTGCAGCTGCATTAAATGGTTTGGCTGGGCCGCTCCATGGTTTGGCTAATCAGGTATTGCATCTTCTCTTCTATATTTTCTTACCTATCTTTATATATACACATTGAAAGGGATTGGTACAGTTTATTAAGACTATTTTATTTTCTTGTATCTATAGGCTAACATGAGTAAATGTAACATCTTTGCTATGTTTATGTGCTGACTCCATCTTCATACTACTTTTTTCAGGAAGTTTTGCTTTGGATAAAATCTGTGGTTGATGAATGTGGAGAGAACATAACCAAAGAGCAGTTAAAAGATTATGTATGGAAGACATTGAATAGTGGGAAGGTAATGTTACCATTTTCATGTTACATTACATATTGACTGAATTGTTTGATTTCCTTACAGTATTTTGGTGAGTGTTGATGGCACTCTTGCTTGTGGATTTGGGTTGTGGTTTCCTTCTTGAATTAGGAAATTCCTTCTTGAATTGAGAAAATTCCTTCTTGAATTAGGAAAAGGAAAAAAAAAAAAAAAATCGGAGAAATCCATTCATGGCACTCTTTGCTTGTGGATTTGGGTTATGGTTTCCTCTCAGTGAAACGTCAGGAATATGTTACTGATTCCAGACTCTTAATATGCATTATTTTTCATGTTTTACAAGATTTGGGCTCAAGACCGGTCAAACCATGTCGACTGATTTTGATATTACCAAGCAGCTTTGTGTTTTGACCTTTTTTTTTCCTCCTCTCTCTCTCTCTTCCCTGAGGCTCTCTCTCTCTCTCTCTCTCTTTTCCCGGAGACTCCCTCTCTTTTTTCCCGGAGGGATGCTTTTATTGTTCTCACATATACTCCTATTCAATGTTTCTCAATTTATGTTGTGGTCTCTTTCTGATTAACTTTATTATTTGATCAGCATTACTCTAACAATGTTCTATTGCATGTCCTCTTTTCTTCCCCATCTAAATGCAGGTTGTTCCTGGATTTGGACACGGTGTTCTGCGAAAAACCGATCCAAGATACATGTGTCAGAGGGAGTTTGCGCTAAAGCACTTGCCCGATGATCCCCTGTTCCAACTGGTTATTCCTCATGCTTTATCATGGAAATTCGGCATATGACTGCACAGTATTCTCCTGTTGATTTTCTAATGAGCTAACATAGCTACTCTGGTGACAGGTTTCCAAACTTTACGAAGTCGTGCCTCCCATCCTAACAGAATTAGGCAAGGTAACAGGCTGATCTGACCCTATTCTTGGACAAAAAGAAGTCAAAATAAGAGTTGGGTAAATAAAGAAAGAAATAGTTGTTCGAGTTGCGTAAATAAAGAGAGAAATAGTTGTTCATCTCTGCAACTTCTATAAGTTAATAGCGTGGAAGATTATTAGCTTTTAAAGCCGCGCGCACAGATTAGGATTTTTGTACCATCTCTGAATTCCCTTTCCAAACCAATGATATTAAGCTGACTGTACTCGAGAAATTGCTATGTTTGTAGGTCAAGAACCCCTGGCCCAATGTTGATGCTCACAGCGGCGTTCTGTTGAACTATTTTGGATTAACTGAAGCAAGGTGTGATACTTCATTCTCATCTAAACTTTTGTCACTGGTAATGATTTCCAGTGTATCTAAGCTATTATTAATCATAATCTTCAAAAATCAAATTTATTCAGGTACTTCACCGTTCTTTTCGGCGTATCAAGGAGTATCGGAATTTGCTCTCAGGTTCGCACGTCTCTCTCTACATTCATGCATACGTACATGTGTTTGTGTTTTGTAAGAATTCTTGTAACTCTCCTTTTTTCTTCTTTTTTTTTCAGTTAATATGGGACCGAGCTCTTGGTCTTCCACTAGAGAGGCCTAAGAGTGTTACTATGGATTGGCTCGAGAATTACTGCAAGAAAGCAGCTTCGTCTTGAGAATCATTGAGGTGTTCGGTTGCATTTGTTTAATAATAATTGTTTTGGGAGCATGGCTTTTTTCGTAAAGGTTCAATTTGAGGCTGTGTAAAAAAAGACTTTTTTCTGCCATGGGCAAATTAACATGCCTTTTTTTTTTTTTTTGGCGATTTTGTATTAGTCATGCAGTGTTTAAACTGCGTACTACTAAGTTGGATTAACTAATAAGGCCATCTTTTTGGGAGACTTTAAAGCATGTACATTTATAAGGTCTCAATGAAGCCATTTTGATGTATCAGAATACAATAAAATGAGTTGATTTGAAATCACAACATGTGTTGCGTCATTTAGCTTGTTCTCTTGTTTTGGCCAAGTAACAGTAAGATATAAAAAATTTAGAGAAATTGTAATAAATAGGCTAACTTAAAAAACCTGTGGACGTAAATAGGCCATTTATTAATGATTAGAAATTTATGGGTTATTCTTAGTTTTAAATTGTTTATTTTTCAGTTTTACCCTTAGTTTTCATTTTTTCTTTTTTGTTTTTTATTTTCTCATTTTCTTCTTATCTTTCCCCCCTTCTCTTTCTCTCTCCCTGTTACACACTCTCTCTCTCTCTCTCCCTGTTACACTCTCTCTCTCTCCCTGTTACACACACACACTCTCTCTCTCTCTCTCTTTCTCCGGTTTCACTCCTCCCTGTTTCTCTCTTATGACGGCGGCGTTCGCATCCAACAAAAGAAAGATGTCGACGGAGTGCAGATCAACGCTTTGGAGAGAGAGAGAGAGCACGGCAGAAGAGGGAGAGAGTGGTGGAGGGGGGGAGAGAGAGAGCGTCGGAGGGAAAAGAGAGAGGCTGATAGTTTCGGTGAGAGAGTGAAGAGAAAGAGTGACAAGTATTAGAGTTTTGAGTGGAATTCTCATTTAAGGGTATTTTTAGAAGTTTATTATTTATAAATCTAGATTTACCTTAAATTGGCCTATTTATTAATTTTTCTAAAACTTTAGCCTATTAATTTTAATTCCTTCCAAATGTTGGCCTATTTCCCTCCATTAAATTTATAGGTTTGGTGCACGGATTGGAAATGATTATCACTTTTAACTTGGATTAGATAAGATATGGTACTATGATTTAGTATTAAATCTTGTTTTCTTTTAATATAAACTAAGAAATCATGATAATTAGTCTTAAAATATTTTTGAAGTTTATTTATCTCGTGTTTTTAAATGGATCATATATTCCGGTTGAGATAGGATTTATTTTGTTTTTAAATGGAAATGATTTAGTATTTGCCTTATTCGGTGCACCAAATGGATCATAGGTAAGCGAATGGCAAATGGAAATTGCAGATTTGCTTTTAAGGCTCTTTATATGTAACGAGATTTAAATAACAAAGTTGAAACTCTAGCAAAAATAATAATAATAATAATAATAATAATAATAATAATAATAATAATAATAATAATAATAATAATAGTAACAAAGTTGAAATATAGCAAAATTCTTGAAATATTATAAGAATAGAAATTTTTGATATTATTAAAATAATGATTATATAGTGTATGATAATGATTATATGTAATTTTTGCTATTTTATAAGATTTTAAAATTTTATTAAATTTAAATTCAAGGTATAAAAAATTCGGTTACTTGGGCTCTAAGAATGGACCCACTGAGAGAGAGAGTGAATTTGAGGTTCGTTCATTTTATCGATTTAATTTTAGAATTTGAGTTTTGTTACGGTAAAAAGTTCTCATAAACAGTCACATCTAACTTTTTTTAATTACAGTAAAAAACTCTTATATAAAAAGCTCTCACTCACATTTCAACTCGAATAAGCGAACTAAACGAGCATGTCACTTCTCTTAGGGTGAATTTAATAGATTCTTAGGCAACTAAACGGGCATGCCACTTCTCTTAGGGTAAATTTAATAGATTCTCAGGCAAACCTGTCACGCCTCGGAAGTCGGGATTTTGCCGCCAAAACAACCTGACTTGCTCTATAAAGTAAAAACCTTGCTGTTGTTCGCCTCCGTACGCGGCAATGGGAGGAGGCACGTGAACTCAAGTGAATCACAAGACTCGATTTTCTTCCAACGCATCTCGTCACCTCCACAAAGCCTCTCTCCAAGGTTTTTCGCCTTTCTTTCTTCTACTTTTTACTGTATATTTTTTTTTTTTTGGGTTGAACTCTCTTTGCGATTGATTTTCCGTTAATTGATCGGAAACCCTAGGTAAATAATGCTTTTTCGAACCCTCAATTCATTTCAATTTCAAGTTTTAATGTTTGTTCAGTTTAATATAGTATTGATTCCTCGAAAATTATTCATTTTCTCATAATTATTGTTGGCCAAACGGTGCATGATTGATGTACTTCTCATGGTGGAGGCGGGAAATTTTTTTAACAAGGCGTAGGCCCGTTAATTTTACGAATTCGAGTTTTATTACAGTAAAAAAACTTTCAGAAACAGACACATTTAATTTTTTTATTATAATAAAAAATTCTTATATAAAATTATATTTCAATTCAAATTAAAAATTTAGATGAGCGACCTATATATAAAAGAGATTATACGAGTCTACTATTCATTTTATGGTCGTCTTATACGCACCGTTTTTAGTGCACTTTTTTTAGTACTTTTCTCTTTTCTTCTCTTTTATTGTTTTTTTTTTCTTTTTTTAATCCTTTTTACTTTTTGTTTCTCTTATTGTGCTTTTTTTTTTTTTTTTTTTTTTCTCAGAGAGGATACGAGCCTCCTATTCATTTTATCGTTGTCCTATACGCACCGTTTTTGGTGCACTTTTTTTTTCTTTTTTTTTAAATACTTTTTCCTTTTCTTTTCTTTTATTGTTTTTTCTTTTTCTTTAATCCATGTTACTTTTTGTTTCTTTTATTTTGCGTTACTTTTTTTCCCTCTATTTGTATATACTACTCTCTCTTACCCTTAAAACTGCTTGGTTTTTTTTTTTTTTTTTTTCATCGTGTTTTACATTTTTTTTTATCCATCACACAATTTTGGTGCCTTTTTTTTTTTTACAATTTTTCTAACCATTTTTGCTCTTTCTTTTTTAGTGATTTTTATTATTTTTTTTCATTTTTTCTACAAATTGTTGTTCCTATTTTACGTTATGAAAATTTCAATAACAACTCAATAGATGCATCCGCACGTAGCTAAACTAGTGTTGAAGTAAAATTACAACGCAACGATATTTTCTAAACTTTAGGCCCGTTCACTTCGCTGATTCGAGTTTGTAATTCGAGTTGAGATGTGATTTTATGTAAGAGCTTTTTACTGTTGCAAAAAAGTTAGATGTGATTGTTTGTGAGAGCTTTTATTATCTTTTTTCATTCTTCTTCCGAATGAACTATGTTCATTTCACCGATTTGAGTTTTCAGTTTTAGGTTTCTACAGTAAAAAATTCTCAGAAAATGTCACATCTAACTTTTTCTGCTACAGTAAAAAGCTCTAAAAAAATGTCACATCTCAGTTCGAATTGAAAACTCGAATCCGCGAAGTGAACGAAGCTTATAATATAATTTAATTCATTTTTTAAAAAATTTAGAGTCCCAAACATATAAGCTTTCATAGTACTATAGTCGATTTTTAGTTTATTTGGGGTTTTAAGTTTGACATATGAGAATATTTTAAAGTCAAAAGTTGGGTATAACTGAAATTATTGAAAAGTTCTACCTTAATATTGCATTTTTCAGTTTTTCACAGGAGGCAAATAGTGAAAGAAAACTTACTTCTATGGTGGTTGATTTTTTTCTCCTGTTTTTGGTGAAATAGATAAGAGTAGGATTGCTAAATCGGAGCGCAATGTTGGCATGGGAGCTAAAGCTGCTAGAGTTCAGCGTAACAAGATGGTAAAATATTAGGCCCCATTAGTTTTGTTAGTTCGAATCATAATTCAAGTATTTGTTGTGGTATTTTTTATCACAAAAATTTAAATTCAATTTTTTATGCTATAATGAGCGCGTTTAGAACTCGTTCTAAAATGATTTTATTTTTTGTATGAAATGAAAATGAAAACGTTTTCAATCTCAGACATAAATTATTTTTAAAAATACGTTTGATAGTTTTATCAGGAGATTATTTTCAGTATAAAAAAATTCATTAATGTCTCTCTCTCTTTCTCTCTGCTCAAGAGAGTAGAAATGAAAATAAAAAATAAAAAACGACTAAAAATTGTTTTACATTTCTATCTCATTTTACACTAAACTAAAAAATCGTTTTCATTTTCATTTTTTGTCTTTATTACGCTAAACGCCGTTTTAAAAACGTTTTCATTTTTTCTTTATAAAAAAAAGTAAAAAATAAAAACGAAATTAATTCTAAATACGCCTAATATTTTTTCTCACATGTATTTATTTTTTTAACTCAAGTTTTCAATTCCAACAAGCGAACCGAACGAGACTGTATTTAAATTTTCTGTTTTAATTCTTCATTCAAGTCACTGCGATTTTTTTTTTTTTTAGTCATTCGGTTGTGGTACCTTCCACTTTGTAGTTGCGGGATCAGAAATGGGCTGCTCTTTTGAAAGAGAAAAGGGCCTCCAGTGGATCAACAGGCTCTCCCCGTGTCATTGTGAGTACTTTTCTTCTGTGATTATTTTTGAAGGAACCTTCTTTTGTTTTGTAATTAGTTTCAGTTAAACTGTTTCAGAATCTATTTATTGGAATGTCTTTAAACTTTCTCAATTTAAGTCATTCTTAAGATAACAGGTTCTTTTGGGGCTTTCTGCGGTTGTAGACCTTATTTTCACTTGCCCAAGATATTCTTTCATTGTTATCTTCTGAAGCTTCTTGGGTTTCGTCATCAACTGTCGCTTCTTCTGAATATAAGCTGCGAGCAACGGTAAGCGAGCCATGTTACAATAGTTTGTCGTTCCTAGTTTTACTTGGTAAAATATACATAAAAGGGTTCTCTTGTCTTATGTCGTTTGGTTTTTGGAAATACACTTTCGATAACAATGCAGTGGTGGCAAACTGGGCCTCTTTGTTATCTCCTGTTTTTTTTTTTCTTTTTTTTTTGTTTTCTTTATTGACATCCTCGGATTTGCAGTGTGTTGGAATATTTTTTTTAGTAAGAAGATGTTTTTTTTACTTCTTATGAATTGAAAGAAGAAAAATACTTAAAATGAACTAGGGGCAGGACTTTCTCCATTTTTTGAGTTGGGCAATTGTTGCCACACTGTAGTTGCAAAACAGAAGCTAAGTTTCATTTTATTTTATCGATTTGAGTTTTATTATAATAAAAAACTTTTAGAAAGTTACTTTTAATTTTTTTATTACAATAAAATGCTCTCACTATAA